TCATCTGATTAATTCAATGATTAAATCTGCATAAAGAAAATTAATTGTTTTAAAGCCACATGCCAGCTTTTGTTTTGAGATGATGCATGAGTCCCAGAAGGCATCCTCCTGGAAGAAACAATCTCTCCTATGCAAATGATGGTGAATATGGCTTTTAAAAAGTGTCTCCCATCTTTAGGGTTTATAAGTGATAATTTTTTAAAGGAAATATTTTTAATATGTAAATGTAGAGGGAAGAGGGAATGGCCTTGAGGGATAGGAGAAAGAGCTGCTGCCAAGGCAATGGTCAGATAAAATAAACTGGAGTCCAGGGCAGGAATCTAACATAGGTAAATGTCTTAGACCAGCCCCCACTAGTTCACACAAAGATAATGGGAGGATGGGGGAGAAACACACTCAGACTTACAAGATTCTGTTACTATAGCTTTATAATAAAATTAGTATTGGCCATGTGACTTTGGTTTCCTAGTCCGGTCTAACTTGAAGGGCTGACATCAAAATGTTATATAACAGGATGTGGACTAGATGACATTTAAGATACCTTCCAGTTTGATGGCTCTGTTTTTCAAATATATTGCCAAATAACTGGCACAGCCCTAACCGTCTAGATGTGCTGGACTTCAACTGTCTGAATCCCTAGTGAGCATTGCCATTGTAACATCCAACATCAAGTGGAGAAGATCAGACCACTTGAATCTCTTGAATTCTCATGAGAAGTTGTCAAAATCTCATGAGATCTTGCCAAACCACTAAAAGTTTGTGCAACTTTTGGATTCTCTTGGGAGATAATGGCATTTTGGGGGTAGAAGTACCATTTGTATATCAGGCGGCTTGCCTCCTAGAGATGTTACATTGTGGACTCTTGACCTTTCTCATACTTTTTTCTATATTTGAAGACTCTTCCCTCGCCTCTCCGTAACATTTCCTTACCTTTTTCAGAAAACATGCTGCTCGGTTTCGATATAACACAGCCTGGAGTGATGGCTCTTTAGCCAGTTTAAGAGCTTTGGAGTAGCTTTTAATAGCATTCTCATAATCATTGCCTTGAAAGTACTTATTCCCTTCCTCCTTCAGCTGCACAGGGTCCGCCATCTAGAAAAGAAACAAACAGATCTTTTTAGGGATGTCTCCAGTCACACAGGCCTACCACTACTAAGGAAACGATGCTAGGCAGTTATTCTGTCCTTTATTCCTTAAGATTCTCTGTGGGGTGGAGGGAAGGGAAGACATGCAAGGATCAGCTAGAAAGCACAGTGAGTCCAAGTGTAAGACCAAAACCTCCTGTAAAATGGGTTGAGTAAGCCTTCCTGGGTACAGCAGTAGGGCTTTTAGAGAAAATCAGACGAGTTTTCTCCGTTCTAGGTGCACTCCAGATAAAATTCAGGTAATAAAAGTGCAGATAAAGAAACATTCCCAGATTGGAATGTAATCAGCTGTAAGAACCAGCCAGTAAATTCCTAAATCGGGACTATGCAATCTCTGTCAGATTAAGGCCCGCACCATGATTTGTGTGGAAGTACTTCAAAATGGACAGGGCCAGAATCCATGGTGGGAGAATTTTGAGGATTATTATTGCTCCATAATTGAACTATCAGATCTGGAGTGCAATAATCCAATGGCAACTAGATGGCAGCAAAAAGATGCATAACTCTAACTCTTTGTTGCCATCTTGTGATTGTCTAGAGCAGGGTTCCTCAACCTTGGCAACTTTAAGACGGGTGGACTTCGACTCCCAGGATTCCCCAGCCCCCAGTCAAAGTCCACCCATCTTAAAGTTGCCAAGGTTGAGGAACCCTGCTCTAGAGTTTTTAGTCCCAGATTTAGTAGTCCTATCATAACTTCCCAATTTCAAACTAATTGCAGAAAAAGAGCCAGAATTGCCCAACATCACAATTTCCCATACAGTTCATGTCAGAATACCTTGGGGTTGCATGGTTTGCCAGATTCGTAGCCTTGACAGTCTTTCTTACTCTTGGCTGGGGAAGATAGGGGCTGTAGTTTGAAAATCTGGGGAGCCCCAGTTGGGGAGCAACTGATATAACCCTTATTTGCTTTGTTATACTCTAGGCAACAGCTCCCTAGTAGGCTTTCTTTCTAAGAATCTCTAATAACTGCACTGTTCATGACAACATTCAAGGATATTCTGGCATTTTTGTTACTGTGCCCAAGTCACTTTGTAAAGAACACCTAACCCTATCTGCATCTCTTTCATAGGTCTCATCCATTTTCATCAATAAATTCTTAATTATATTTGGACATCATTATGTATAATTATATATAATTCATGTATCCAAAGAAGTAGACTTTAGATTGAAGAAAGTTTATATAATATACAAGTCTTCATGCATTTATGAGGTCTATTCATTGGTGAAAAAATAGAGTATAAATCCTATAAGTAAACATTTTTTTCAATCTTGACTTCTGGTGACATATCCCTGCAGTTTTCTTGACAATATTTTTCAGAAGTGGTTTATCTGCCTTTTTTTTAGGGCTGGGAGAGAGGGACTGGTCCAAAGTCACCCAGCTGGCTTTGTGCCTAAGGCAGGACTAGAACTCACGGTCTCCTGGTTGCTAGCCCAGTGCCTTTAATCACTATACCAGGCTGGCTCTCATTAAATGAACAAGAAGTGTTGTTTTAAGAAATGGATGATCATATTCAAGAAGGCTTCTCTCATTTTATCTTCACCAGAATCCTGTGAAATCACTATGAGACAGTGATTGACCCAAAGGGTCAAATTAGTTGAACCTGCATCTCTCTGCTCCCATTCCAGTACCCTAATGCACTGCTTCACTGGCTGCAGTGTTCATATTTCTGGCCCCACATTAGAATCTTTATTGCATTAGCTGCAAATGAAAAAATATCTATGCCCTCTGGTAACTATATTTGGACAATTTTCAGATGCCTTTGGGAATTGTCCCAATCACCTGTCATTGCTGATGAGAAGAAAAAGAAATGCAGCCTCAGTGCACATATCTACACACATACACTTGCAATCGTCTTTGTCACTCAAGCAACATACTGTATTCTCCTGGGTTTTGCTATTTGTTATTTTGCTATCCTGTTTGCTATTAAATCCCCATTTATGCTCCCCTTTCCTTACCTTGCACAATTTCCCAGTTCTTGAGAGAGTCACCAACTTGGATTTTTTCCTGTGGAGCACTTAATCGCAGGCACCCTCTCTCTTGGAGTAAGCTAATAAGTATGGCTGCCTGGACTTTAGATAGAGGGATATATATAGCTCATTGAAATAGTCAAGAGCCAAGGATCAAAGCACAGTGAGCAAGACCTTAGGGGTGAGGGGCTAATTTCCAGATAAACCACCTGGTTTTCAATTGGGCACAAACAATGCAGTTAAAGAACTCATGGAACCCCACATCCAAATTTTACATCAGTCTTAGTCAAAGTTCAACAATGGAGTTTTTCAAGGCGATAATGCAATGAGTGTGGCGCTTGGCCCACCCTGCCAAAATGTACAAACCCCCCTTCCCTTTCTATTTAGGGAAGAATGAGACATTTGAAACTCTGGAACGAATGGTTTCACTCCAGAATCCTTGGAGAGATCCAGCAGCAGCTGTGACAGACGGGGCATCTCTAGTAACTTCCAGAACTCACCACTCCCACCAGAAATTATATTCAGAAATGACATTCCCAAAAACATAAACAAAGGAAAAAAATCCCAACAAAAATGCACCCTCTTGCCTTAAGTTCAAGCTATACTACCCAAAATGCAAAGGAATTGATTGGTCTGACTGATGGGAAACGGATCAGTTTTTATTAACATTGTTAACAGCCGCGATATGAAGATGCTGACATCCATCCAGCTAGATACCTGTTCAAGCATGAGATTTAAAGTATTGTAAAGTATTATACAAACATACACACAGACATGCGTGCACATGTGTGTGCCAAGGAAATATAGAGATCTAAATAAGTTTGTTGTGGAGTAGTAAATTAATGAAATTGGAAGTAAAAGAGAAATAATGCTTGTGCAAGTGTTTGCCTTTGAACCAGTTTGACCCCTGGTAACTGCTTGTATTAGTCCCTGTGGTTTTCCTGGCCACATTTTCCCAAAGTAGCTTTCTTCCTAGGGCTGAAGGAGAGGGACTGGCCCAAAGTCACCCAGCTGGCTTCTGTGCCCAAGGCAGGACTAGAGCTCATGGTCTCCGTTTCTAGCCGGGTGCCTTCGTCACTACATTAAACTGGCTGTCACTACAGTAATGCACACGTCTAAGGAAGCTCATGCTGTCCACTAGGGCAGTAAAGAGGTGCTGGACAGTCTAACTCTGCTTTTATCTAGTGGTCATTTAGATCAGTGTTTCTCAACCTTGGCAACTCTAAGATGTGTGAACTTCAACTCCCAGGCACTAGGCAGTCTAGTTTCAAAAATTTCTTTATATATTTTCAAATTTCCAAGTAAGTCCACCAGCCCAAAACAGTTGGAAACTCTTGCATACAGCCATATATTTCACTTTTTGTGTTTCAGTGATTAGATTCATAAACTCTCGTGACCAAATTAAAGAAAAACAACTCATGTTTGCTCTGTTTGCATGACTGCTTACTCATGGTTACATTACCCAGGGCTAACGGAATTAACTTAGTTTTCTGGGCTTGCACGATACACACTGGACCGTGCACTATTCCTGCGGGGTTCACATCTGCTTCCATAAAATATAGTGGACTACAGTAGTTTGTAGCACAGCGTGTTGTGCAAACACAAACTACCCCTGGCTTGACACATCACACTAAGCATAGCTTGCTGAACTGTGGTTTACTGAATATACCGCAGTTGGTTTATCCTACAAGCCAAACACTGCTCAGAATCAAACGTACTTATAATACAGTACCTGCAGTGTAACAATTTTCTATCAAAACTGCTGGAAAGATAAATTACTTCGACTACTGCACGTTGTGCAATGAGTTCAGGGTCCAGCCAGTAGGTGGAGCTAAACAGGAGGCGGGGGAGCGATCGCTCTAGGAAGGAATCGGGATAGAGAAAACGGCGGGGAAAGCGAAGCGTTTGTCGATGAGTTTGAAGCTGCTGCAAGGAAAAGGGTTGGGGCTTATCTGCCTCTGAAGTCAAGTTAGGTAAATATTTCCTTTGACTTAATGTTGCCCGTTTCGTGCTTTTTCTCTTTCATGCAACTTTTGCAAAAAGTGGTAATTATGGGGGGAACAGTGAGCCACCAAATCCTCATGCGGTTTCTATGCGAGGCTGCAGTTGCGCGAGCAACCGGTGCAAAGGAATTAAGGAATTAAGGAATAAAATTAAGGAGGTGAGACCAGCAGCCTTCCGGGAACCGTGTCATCTCATATCAATGATCCTAACCAAGCCAGTTATATTCTACTTTAATGTGATGGTCTGGTTCACATCCCCTGATAAGAAAATGGGTTCCAAGTTAAGGCTGGTCCATGTTGTGAAGCATCTTAAGACTTGCGATGTGTGTGGCTTTGTCCACCTGTTTTGGACCTTCCCCCACTGAGCTCTAATTCAGTTCTTGAGAGTAGATTGTCTGCATGCAATTTTATACAGTAATGCATTATTGGGTAAAGTGCTGTTTCTGTGTTGTGTGTGTCAAAGCAAAGCCCTTATGTCATCCCTACATGACTAGGGATGTGATTCTGGGGACACAGGTGGAGGATAGTAGCATGTCTTGCTTATGGTTCTAGAAACGATTCAACTGTCTCTCTTTTCTATCTAGGCTCTCAGTCCAGGGATGATCCTCCGCGAAGGGCTGTGTCCTGGCCTCTCCGCTGAAATGGTCCAGGCACTAAAAGCCAATGGCATCAAAACAGGTAGCTGATTGGGGTGGTGGAGATTTAGCAGCAAGTTGTCCCACAATTTAGGGGTTACATTGGCTATCGTGAACAGAGTGGAGTAGATTCTTCAGAGAGTCCACAGATCTCTTTGAATTCTAATTTTTGTGTAGTTGGAAGTTGCAGTATGATTGGAAGAATGATCAGGGTGAGGTTAAGGGAAGAGAGAAGGACATAGCTATGATGGGACAGTATGATCAAGGAAGGAACAATAATTACTTTTAGAAAACTCTGGAAACGCTTTATGGACTTTTTGCTGAAAATGGATAAAAATGAATGGGTGATTTCGGGATTTACTGATTAAAAATTTTTTGTTTATGGGAAGAAGGGAACCATGATATGGTGAAAATTGCAATTACTATGTTTCTAACTGCTGCAAAGAAGATCAGAAGCCGCTTCTTTAGATATCTTTTTTCTTTTTCTTTTATCTTTCATTTTTTCTTTTATTCTTTCGTATTTCCTTCTTTTTTCTATTTTTCTTTTTTGTTTCTGAAGTTTTTTAAGCTTATGTAAAATCTTCTTTTAATAAAATTACATTAAAAAAAGCTGTGATGGGATAAACCAGAGATCTATATTTCTCCACCCCCTGCATTTTCCCATTTGTTTTAATAGAGGTATTGTACTAGCTTTCACCAAAGTGGGGGCTGTCACATGCCTTGTGATGGCATTTCCCAGGATTCCATAGCAGCATGGTGAAAGAGTATTAAAATCCATAATAGAGTCTGGATTGATGCATCATGCTAAGCCAGTGGTTCCTAAACTGTTTGACCTGATTTCCCCTTTTCCTAGTCTCAAATAATGTTATTACCCCTACAGGAAAAACAACAACAACAGACTGTCATTTTATACAAGTGTCTTGGAAGCAGTGGTCCCAAATTGGATCTTCGACTCACAAACAAGCAATTACAAATTGTTCCAATTCTCCCAGGATATGCCCAAATTACCCCCAGTTTAAGAACCACAGTGCTTAATTTACTTTAACTATGATTTGTTGAAGAAGTCAAAATGGCTGAATTTACATTCAGTTGAAGCCAGGACTAAACAATCCAGATTCTAGGGCAATGCAATGTATGATCCAATGACAGGAGAGCCAGTGGTGGGTCATGGACAGAGGCTTGGTAAATTGGGCGTGTGTTCTGATGAAAGAGAAATTTTGTAGCATCGCTGGGTAGTTTGTAGATTTTTTCCAGCTGAAGTTTTTTCCTATTTTTCATTTCCTCTCATCTGTTTTCCCAAATGTTTTATAGTGGTTGATCTTGTCTCATCGGATCTGGAGGAAATTGCCCAGAAGTATTCCTTATCGTACAAGGCAAGTACAAGAGTCTCTAGAGATGGATTTATTATTGCATATTTCAGCACGCAAAATGTTGCATAGTTCTGGCTCATCAGGTCCTAAAAAAACAAGAAACAAATATCCCCTGAGATTTCATTGTGGATGGAGGGATAAGATTTACATTTGTTTTTGTAGAACTTGAAAAATGTTGAGAAACTCTGATAATCATTTCTGTGATGGGTTTTATTATAGGCTGATCTCTGAAATGCTAGTTTAAAGGTTGCCTATCTTTAGGGCCATGAGCGTGTTAGAGACTCAAAAGAGTAACCTGGGTGCCACCAAAACTAAGCCTCATGAGGGTGTTTGCAGGGGTTCAGGAGGGCCAATGATGACGCAGTCAGTGGCATATATGTGATCATGTCAATGTGTGTGTGCTGTCATTTTGGTGTCATCACAGTTTGCAACTGATGCTGCTTGGCCAACCAGAAATTATTGGGGATCTCTTTTCTCCCTCTGTATAATTGTACATGTGTGTTTGGCTGATTTTTTCTCCTCTTCCTTATACTCTAGTTGATGTTCTGTCCCCCCACATGGCTCATGTTCCTCCCTTCTCCCCATTGATCTTTCTAGCCCCTTTTTCTCATCCCCTATGCTGCCCCATAATTTGTCCTCAGGCCCCCTAATTTTTTTTTCTTTCAGTATCAGCTGATTGTCAAGCAGCATAAAGTTGACTTGCAGCTGTGGAGTTGTAGGCCTGAGGTCTGCTTTATCCAGAATAAACAGGGAAAAAAAGAAATAATTAAAATGTTTGCTTTAATCAGGAGGGGTAAGGGGCTTTGGTGGGCACAGTAGAGAACAGTACCTTGAACGTTAGTTCATAGATAGGATAATTTCTTGGCCTGAATATTAGCCTGGAAGGCCTTTTGTTCCTCTAGCTCAGCGTTTCCCAACTGTGGCAACTTTCAGAGGTGTGGAGTTCAATTCTCAGAATAATGGCTATGCTGGCTGGGGAATTCTGGGTACCGAAGGCCATACATCAGGAAGTTGCCATGGCTGAGAAACACTGCTCCAGCTGCTGGTTATTTTACTGCTTGTTCATGCTAAGGCTGCAGGCGGTAAAGGATTGGCAATCTTCTGTTACAGACCTTAGTTGCAGTACGACGTGTGTTGCTGGTGCAGTTTTCCTCCTTCCCGGTCAATGGGGCAGATCTCTATGAAGAGCTGAAGCACACCACAGCAATCTTGTCTACTGGAATTGAGAGGCAAGGGGTTATTAATCAGAACACAGTGTTGAGGGGGACATCTTGTCTAAAACAGACCTGCTCCATTAATTTTCAAGCTCACATGTATAAGAGTTTCACCACAGAGATGCAGGGAGCATTGTTCCACATCCTTGGAGAGCCATGTACCAGGACAGCTTTCCATTGCTTTATTTCAAAAGCAGAACATAGCTAGTGGCTGTACTGTCACAACATGCTTACATACAGTTAACTGAACCATGGTTTTACTTCACCCCATTTCCTGTGTTTGCAAATCACACTAGGTTAAAATGAAGTTCACTAGCTTGTGGTTCAGTCTGTGTATGAATCCCAGAAGGTGGACTGATTGAATAAGCCATGATTTAGTTGACTGTGGATAAGCAGTTCATGCTAACTCAATCACCATATCAGCTGTTATGATAGCACTGTTGTTAACTGAGGAGGGGGGTAGGAATGGAGTGAGACTTTGGGGCTAAATTCCATCTGGAGACCTCCAGGTTCCATAGGCTTCTTCCTCATAGTGTATTGTGAGGATAAAAGCAGGGAAAGGACCTGATGGAAAATTAGTGGGAAAGGCACATGTAAAAATCAAAGGAATCCATTTAGTGTTTTTCCCCCTATCTATTCAATAATACGTGTTTGAGAAATAATAGTAATAATAACTTATTAAATTTATATGCCTCCCAAGTCCCAGCAATTCTGGGTGCTTCTATTTTAACCCAGGAAGGCTTGGCATTATCATCAAATGTGGTGGTGGTGTTGAGGACTTTATTTTTCTAAAAAGAAAGTAGCCCTCTGAAAATTGGGTTCATTGGCTGAGTTTGGAGCTAGAGGGAGCAGAAAAATGAAAATTAACAATCCCGATGGAGATAAGCATGAGCTTTAATCAGCGATACTTTGGTTTCTTTATCTCACTCTTCCTCCAGGAGTTCAAGGTGGTTCCAGGAAAGGCATGTTATAAATCTAATGAATAAATAAACAGTTAAATAACAACCTGGTGAGGGAAGTGAGCTAAGAGATAATGACTGCCCTAAATTGCCCAATTAATTTCCATGGTTGAGGATGTTTTTGAATATGGGTCTGAGCACATTAAGCAGTATCCTGTACTGGTCCTGTTATGGATCATTGTCTATCCAAAGCAACCATCTCCTGGGCTCCTGGTTTGCTGTAAGTTCATTTTTTCCCTCTTAATATGGCAAAGGACAGTCTTCTCCTTCCTAGTGGCTTGTAGAAAGATTGGCCTGGAGTGATTAGTCAGGATAGCCTTGGTGGTTGGGATGACAAGAGCTGTAGCCTGACATGTTTGAAGGCTTCTGGGCTGAGCAAGGCTGATGGGCAGATGAGCTGTTCTAAAAACTGTGACAGGACAGGGGTGAAACTGGCAGTTCGGTCACTCCTTGGTTTGCTGTGCCCTCTGTTTATTTTGGGCAAGCAGCAGAACTGAATTTCCAAGCCTAAATGGAGACCCCTCTTTTGTCCTTCAGAGAGAAGACACTCAGAGAGAGAGGTCCACGTGAAAAAGTGAAAGATGAAGACTGGGATGTGCATGTCCTGAAATTCTCATTTTTCTCCTCTTTTGCTGTTTTAGCTTGGACAAGCTTCTTGACTCAGGTTTATACACGGGGGAACTGACAGAACTTGTTGGAGCACCCAGTGCTGGCAAAACTCAGGTTGGCTGTTCTTGACATATTTGGTTATTAGAACAAATTGTATGTTGCCTTCTCATTGGACTTTAGACAGAGTACAGTCTTACAAACGTGCAATATGTATACTAACATCATGAACAAAACCATGTTTTACTCAACTACTGTCAAATGTGGAGGACTCTTCATTTCAAAGGCCCTATAAAAAACAACTTGTCTGGTTTTGATGTTTGTTTTGCTTTATGCTAGCAAAATGCCTTTTGTTACCCAGGTGTATATATCTAGGGAGAATTTGTATATTGCAAGACTGTATGGGAGATGGGATGGATTCAACACTGTTCCAGGTTGTCAGAGATAGGTTAGGCTCTCCCTGTAGGAGTTTTGATAATGGATATTGGTTTACCTTATATGAAAGAGGGAGGGCAGGATTTGAATTAATGTGTCCTGTTCTTTAGGGGGTTGAAATCCAGCTTTTCCTGCAGAGATGGGGCTGTCAGAAGATTGGCCTGAATGGTAGTTTGAGGCAAAGGACAAGATAATACCTTCCTTTTTCATGTAGGGAAGCCAGGGGCATTTTTATTTCTAGTAGTGGGGAAATCTTCTCTACTACACTTGAGAGCAGCAGTCTTCTATCCAATAGGGTAGGGCAAGAAGCAATGGGTGGAAGCTTGTCAGAGGGAGATCCAACCTGGAAATAAGGAAGAGTTATGCAGTGGAACAGCCTGTCTCCTGGAGTTGTGGGTAGTCCATCACTGGAGGTTTTCAAGAAAAGATTGGACAACCATATGTCCGAGATGGTATGAAGACTCCTGCCTTGGGCAGGGGGTTGGACTGGAAGACCTCCAGGGTCCCTCCCAACCCTATGATTCTATGATTCTGAAATTGGAGGATGTGCTGCACTAGAAGCCGGCTAAAGAAAGAGCTTTGTATATTTTTATAGTTTCTGATTATGGCAGACTAATTTCTCCCTCATGAAAGACAGATCAAAGCATTTTCTCCATGTCTGATTATTTAGCCCAAGATTTTCTGCAAGTAGCATAAAACTTTGATGTGATGGATGTAGGTGTTTCTGAGTCATGGTGCCCTCAGCTTGGTACATTCCCAAGCTGATCTTGCTCACAAACACCATTAGTCATTATAACAATCCATTCCTGCCTCTTTGAAAATTGGCTGCCTTCTGGAGCCTTCTGACTGGATGGCATCCGTGTGCATGGCCTTGTGTTAGGAATAGCAAAATCCTTGATCTGGCAGACATCCTGGCACCATAGCAGCCTTTTTTCTTCTTTTTTCTATATAATTGCATTAAGTCACCTGGTTTTTAGTCACAAAATCTCTTGGAGTAGCCTGCATGAGTTTTATCTCAAGGGGCACAGTCTCTACCTGTGGGCTTATAATATCAGCTATCGCTGACCTGCTGCTTGTAGATATGTTGGATTTGGTCATCTGGAACTCTTTCCAGCACATCTGCAGCCATCAGATATGGAAGCCTAGGATGAAACACAAAAAAATGGGGGACATGGAGAGGAAATAAGCAAAGCTAGGTGGTTGCCTTTTAAAGTTAGACTTGGCTCACATATTACGCTAAGCCATGGATTGTTTAATCCATAGTTGTCTGGCTTCATACATCATTGTAAGCCGAAAGGAAAACAAAGCACGTTATGATGTACGTATAATTACTGGCTTCAGTGGGACACATTCAGGAAGGGGAAAATCCCAATGATTGCTGTTTTTTTTCAGGAGGGAGGTCAGTGCAGTGGAACCTTTTCTTATCCATGTGGAATTGTCTGGGTTGTGAGTCACTTCCAACCCCAAAGTTGTTTTTCCTTGGCTCTTAGCAACCTGTCCAAGTATTCGTTCAAGTGTGGTGAAAAATTAACTGCACAGTTTCACTTGTAAGGAGAAGAACAATGGTTTTCCTTTTAAGAAATCAAACTGCTTATGAACCAAAAAAACGTACTGTAGGGCAAAAAAAATGGGTTTTGCTTAATGATGCATGCATGCGTGCTAGAAAGCCCTGCCTTAGAAAAATGTTTCTTTCTGCTTGAGAATGTGGAGGAAGAAGGTCTTTTGTAAACAGATGCTCACCACTGGGGAATTTTTGCATGGCCCACTCAGCTAAATATATTAGATAATGTGCTTGGGTGTCCTCTCGTTTTGCTTCCATGTGCCTGCAGCTCGGTAATCAAGCTTTGTGGCTTATCACGCTATCTGAGCTCCAAGTGGCTGCCATCTCATGTCCCCCAAATTCAGGATCCATAATCTATGACAAATCTTTGTGATTTGCAGGCTTTTCCCAAACTTTTGGAAGGTAAGCTGTGACAGGCTGCCTTTGAGCAACCTAATTTCAGAAATCACACATGAGTCTTAAGCTCTGCCTCTTGTTATGTCTCTAGGTGTGCCTCACTGTAGCTGCAAATGTATCCCATAGCCTCAAGCAGACTGTCCTGTACATTGACTCCACTGGGGGTTTCACCGGTATCCGTCTGCTGGAGCTGTTGAATTGCCTGACTGAGGATGAGGAGGAGCAGGTCAGCCAAGTAGAAAGTACTTGTTATGGGTGTTGGTTCCTAGAAGAGTATCTTCAGTTTCTTAGGTTCACTGGCCAAATAAAGAGGCACCACTGGAATTCTCTCAGCTGGGATGTATCATAGTCCTCTAAGCCAGTGTTTCTCAACTGTGGCAACTTTAAGATGTGGGGACTTCAACTCCCAGAATTCCCCAGCAATATGTCCACAGATCTTGAAGTTGCCAAGGTTGAAAAACACTGCTCTAAGCTGTAATAGGATGCTAAACTACCAAATACTGGAAGGTCAGGTCATTATCTGGAATAAAGGAGGATTAGATTTGAAGAACTTCTGATCCCCCTGTACTTTTGTTTTGGAAAGTTGGTTCAAATCCCAGCCTCTCCATATAAAGCATACTTGGTCTTTGGGTGATGTGTCAGAGTTGTACTCCAAAAATTAGTAAGACTGGGGAATGATTTCAATATGACTTTTCATTTACATATAAACATAATTAAAATGCAATAAATCTGAGTATTCACCAGTTGTATATTTAACAATTTCCCTCCTTTGCCATATTAAATATAACAATTGTGCTACAAGTTTTGTGAGATCTCTGGGGATCCCACACTAGGTTTTGGGAGCTCCATGTAACCTGGGACCACAGTTTATGCATGAGATTGTGCATTAAGGTGTTGTATTTTGATAAGGACGGTGGGACACATTCAAGACATCTTTCAGCTATGAAGTTTAGTGATTTTTAAGTTGGGCCAGTTGCTATCTCTCAGACCAATCAGTCTCACAGAATAGTTGCCACAATAGTAAAATTAGAGGTAACCCCTATATGAGTCTCCTGGAGCTCTCAGAGGAAAGTTAGGATAGAAATATCGATATGATGATGATGATATCATCTAAGGGAACCCTCTTCTCCAAATCCAGTTCATTGGGTTCTGGATTAGTATGATTAATATGATTTCTGCCTTTAGGGTTTAAACATTTTTGCTTGTTGTGCTAAAGCTGAGGTTTTCGAAAGAGCAAATTGTATACATAAGAAACATTTAGTGTTGGAATAGCATAATTGTTAGAGGACTATGCTTGAAACAAACAGTACTGAGTCTGAATTTCACCTCTGCCAAGGGGAGTAAATGCAGGTTAGCCTTTTTCAATCCAGTGTTCTTTGGGTGTCTTGAACTACAATTCCATATAATAAAAAATGTATTGAATTGGTGGGGATTATGAGTGTTGTAATCCAGTCAGTCTAGAAGGCATCTTCGAATCATGTCTACTGACTGATGCTGGCTGGGGAATTCTGGGAGTTGAAGTCCACATACCTTAAAGTTGCCAAGGTTGAGA